ACCTGGCTCAGTTGAATACATCACCCGGGACACAACTCTGTCGCGCCAATGTCTAGAAAAAGCACTTATATACTATCTATCCTTCGCTGAACCACGTGATATTAGTGTGTTCCGTCACTTCCGCGAATTGTGTCCCTTTGCGCGCGACGGCTGGTCGAGTTAACTTTATTATAGGGGAGCAGAGAATGTTATTAATGTTGCGTTCGTGCGAAACATGCACACATGGATTAGTTACAGCCCGATTCGGAAACATTAAACCATCTGTAGCTTCTTTTTTAAAGAAAGTTAGGACATCGCTGACGATTTTTCGACACAGAGACGCAAACGGCGATCTTGTCTCGACTGTTCGACCATGTCGACAATCAACTGTCAAAGGTGCACCCCTTCACAATAATAGACCAGGCGACTATTCAGATCAAGCTGAATACAAATCAACCTGTGAAGTTTCTACACAGCAGGCATACACTGTCTGTAAGAGGTAGTCATGCCCGGCACTGTTTTACACTCGAATTAACAAATCCAGTTGATTTAACCGCTTCTCAGCAGCGATGGAATTGTACAAGTAGTAATTTGTGGCATCTTTACAGAATATTTTACCAAAACGAACAAGAAGTCACAGTAAGTTACTTTTAACTTACATATACATGAGTGTTTAAAAACAAGTATTCTAATTGTTGTTACTATCTTCGTGCTGTAAATTGTATTTGTAATGTGGAATAACTTATTCTTTGTTTTCTACTTAGGTACCGAGAACTTTGTGAAATATTTGAGATGGTTTCTCTCCCAGTAGAGTAAATTTCATCTTGAGAAAAGTTGCCAAAGGTTGCGTTTGACGGCCCCTGAGGGGGAAGGGGGAAACATTGTTGCGAATAAATATGTGCGAGAGACAAGTCACTCTTTTGAGTATGTATTAGACCCAACTACCCTACAATCAAAGATCTCTTTACATTAAGAGTAATAGATAATCGAGTCTGGACCAGACAACCCAGAGGATCCCATGGATGGCTATTAAGAAAGGCGGAATCTGACCGGGAGGACTGCTGTATTAACAATGATGAGACTACAAGATTTGGCCTCTTATAAAAGTGTATGTGTAGGATAAAGCACGACTCCGAGGTTATGGTTGGGAAAGTAAGACCCGAGACCGGAGGGTGGGGAGAAATAACCGAGAGCGCGTAGCGCCCGAGGTCTTACTTCTCTCCACCTGATGGTCGAGGAGGAGTGCGAGGAGGATAACCGAGGAGGAGTGCTTTATTATACATATAAACCGTCAATGATGGATAATTAGATGGTCATGTAATGAAGCTACATTAACAGTAACTAAAGGGCTAGTAAAATCAATTGATATAAATAGCTGTGAGGAAGAGATTCCGCTTATGAATCTGAAAAATAAGGTTGTAATCCTGCTACGGAATCATTTGCACATTTAAGTTGACCTATGGGAAGAGGTCTTACTTAGAAACAGTAAAACCGGGAAATTAGTCTTAATTACGAAAAGTAAAACCTAGGAGCAAACAAAAACCTCAAATGCGGTAATTTCGGGAAAAGAAGCCATGTCTAATATATAGTGAGAAGCAGCATTTCAGGTTTATATGGTAGAAATAATACATCATTTGATAAAGAAGGAAACTATATAATTTGACCATTTTTATGTTAATACAGCATAAGCATACAATACAATCATCTTGCCTTTTCAATAAAAATAACAAAATGTATTAGATTAAGACAAATTTTATTTTGAATCACTTTCGGGATTACTCCTGGTCAGTAAAGTACAGATTCTGGAACATTTTGGGAACAGATTGAGTTCCTTCAGGGATTCGAACCGACATGCCCAGAGTCAGTCAATAAATCGATAATAAAGATATGTAAACAGAAGCGACAAAACCCTTTCCACATTCATAAGAAATCTTTGCTAAAAGCAGAGTCGATTGTGTAATTGTAACTATACCATGAGCATAACAGTAAGTTCAATGAACACAGAAGTCCATATAAGTTACATCTTGCCTCAATGTCTACATATTTCAGACAATAGTGTTAATCTTTACGCTTATATTGTCACTATCTTCGTGTTGTAACTTCATTAACAACGTGGATTAGATCATAATGATATATATTTGTGCATACGTATTGAGAAGTGAAGATGACACTTGTATTGACCTACCCATAAGAAACATCAGTTCCTACGATCAGATTCCCCTTTGTGCAAAATACCAAAATGTTCTGTCCGTTGGCTTATGAAAAGAATTCTCCAGTATTTAACCATTTATATATTTTCTGATATTTATATAAGGTTTTTAGACTCTCGACTATGGCTATGATGGTCCTGCGGGTAAAATATTGATGAAGAATTTTGTGTTAGCGAACGCCAACATCACAGTATTAGACCCTAACAGTCAACTTATAGATCTTGTTGCCCTTACACGGTAGGGGAGTAAACTGTGTGTAAACGTATGTGAAGGTTGTCATGACCATTATTGGCATGGGTATGTATGGCGGTCAATATGAACATATGAGTAGCACCATTTGCGTTTTGGACCGTCTCAGCACACGTTCCGTCCTCTCCTGGGAACTTGCAAGAATCGCAGCCCATTATCACATACATCATCATTTCTTTACTTCGCTGGATTGAATAATATGACATAAGATGTTAAAGATGTGTATACAAGGATATTTCCTTACTCCACTAGCCCGTTAAGATTCAAATATATGAAGAAATTTGTACATAAATGAAGTCAGTATATTATAATTTCCATTTCTAGACGTTTCAATGTGTTTGTTTCTGTGTGGATTCCCTTAATGAATTCAGTGGTGGTTACCATGACAACACAATACACACCACACAATCTTATTCATGTAAAACTTTCACAGCATTATACTCGCACAGTTTTCTATATGTTATATTTTAGCTTTGCTTTTAAACATGCACTTTGTGTCTGTATGGCCTATGGTATTGCCAGGATACTTTTGATCAAACAAATAACTAACTGGACATATTCAACTGAAGTTAGATATTTTCGCTTTGGCAGAATAATTGTGCGGGTTAATATTGTTTCACTATCGCAGCTCACCCGCACAAAAACATTCCTGCTTATACTATAACGGGTACCCGCCATAGAAGTAATATATGGCGGAAGGTTGATAATTTCCTCCAGCAACGAGGCAAACGACAGCAAATGTTTTTTATTTGTAGTCAATACCGTAGTCAAAACGTAATTTTCACAACAGTGTACAGTAATTACTAATAAAAAGACAAAGGACGATTGATACACGATGGCCGCTACTGTTAAATCCAGGCTAGTATCCTACCTCTATTACATCCGAGGACATTTCCGGGTACTCCACTCACTATGAACTATACACAACTACACTGGGTACATCCAAGACATTAGGGTATGATCCATAACACGTGGAATAATCTTGACTTGCTCACTGCTGGTCTACCACACTGACCAGGAACACAAATATACAAAACAGGGTCAATCGTGACCAACGTTATTCCGGGACAAGCCGAATAGCGATTATGGACAGGGGCGAGTGGTGACGAATGTGAACAGGGCGTGTTGACAACGCTCAAGGGACACTACTCTGTCTGTGCCTCACAATATTTGATGTGTGTGTGTGTGTGTGTGTGTGTGTGTGTGTGTGTGCGCTCTCTTTCTCTCTCAGTAAACACGCTAGCAAAATGATTTGTTCGTGTTCACGCACTCACTCCCTAGGACAAACACCACTCACTCACTCACTAACTCACTCAAACTCACAAGCACACACAGAATGTTGCCTTGGAGGACAACTCCATATATAGAGCATCAGATTCTGTCTCCAAAACTGTGTCCGATCCTGTTTAGAATGACTTTCATCATCAGTGTGAATACTTTACTTGTCTTTGCACGTGTGTGTGATGCGATGGGCTGGCCTAGTTATGTTTGCCTTCCCGCAACTCCTGGCACCATCCCTATCTGACTGTGATTCATAAACAAATGCTTTACGATATACGTCCTTCATGACTGCGATTTTGAGGATACATGTATATCAGATGTTAGTGTAATCCTTTCACCACTTGTATTAGACTCATAGCACCAATAAGCACAAAGGAATGTTTATAACTTAAAAAGGATTATTTACCGGTGTTTGAACATGAACATGCATTAAGGGTTGTAGATAAAGACAACCTTAACATGTGGTAAAAGTTCATTTTGGACATTCAGAAAAACTCAACTGAAATTAAGGAGAAAAATACTCAGACAAACTTAAACAGGATCAGCAATTATACGGTCAAAGTACATGCCCAAAATGAATCTGTTGAGTTGTTTATGAATTAGCTTGTAAACCAGGTCAGACCTTCTTTTCAGAGTAAGAATGGCATATACTTCGTCTAACCATCAGCCTGTTCAGTGTACTGAAGATAGCCTACTGAACACCCGGTGTATTCCACCCAGAACCATGGAGACCCTGTCCAACAACACGAGCAGTGCTCGACAGGGGAAGGTAGGGGGTGACCAGTGTGATTTCCTGTGCTAGCAGGGGACCAACACTGATGACCCCGGCGGAGCAAGGTGCGAGTCTTGACCAAAACATATTCCCTGAAAAAAATCCTGTATAACGCTGAATAAGAATAGTTGTAAAGAATCATCAAGTCTTCTCATTTCATGGGGTTGACAAATGTGTGAATATAGGTTGGCTGGGCCGTGAAGGTGTGAGAGTTGAACGGGGATACACATTTTGAACGGGGGTAAACGTTCGATACATGTACTATACCGTTCATACGAGAGACTCGACCCAGGAGTGCAAGGTAGTAGTAATTCTCACAATAACCATAAAATTCACTATTTGCTAAACCCAAATCTGTCTAGGTCTTGGAATCCAAGCTTTTCAGTATCAGGTATTTGGATAGCATGATTTGCTGAAGTAATTAACATATACAACTAATTGTTCTGGAATTAACATAACAGTCTGGACCTCAGCGATCAGTGGGTAGTGGAAGAAATCAAACGATGGTGAAAGTTATGTGTTTTTTATTACAGACAGCAAACGGGGGAGCAACATCCAGTCCAGTGCTCCCAGGAGAGCACACTGGACGCCAACACCAGGAGATCCACGGCTTGAGAGTCTGGAGTGGACAAGAGTCTGCAACTGGGTGGACAGTGGTCGAGTGACTACAGCTTTTATTTTTCTGTACTATCTTCATAGTCTAGGGATCGTAAAACCCAGATGGTCAACGCCAGTGATCTTAGCAACATCACTCCACCCTACCCCAACTCAACTCCACCTTTACTGTGCGGCAGACTGACGCTTGGTTCCAGTTCTTTGACTTAGGCTCGTCAGGCTATCGACGGAAATATTCAAGAGGAGCTATTATAATAGTTTTTTAAAATCTGAATTGAAATACGAAACCTATCTGAATTTATTACACTATAACAATCGGGGGGCGTTACTCAATTTCAGAACCGCGGACCATTGCCTTCTAGTTCAAACAGGACGATGTATTAAACCATCCCCATATGAAAGGTCATATTCTCTTTGTAATTCGAACGATATTGGAGACCGATTTTCTATTTATTTGAGACAGCTTTCCTATAGTCTGTTTCAGCTTTCCTATAGTCTGTTTTCGCTCTATGACGAGCAGTATTGGTGTTTACATTTTAGGTACAATACTCTCTTGACCAAGGTTTCCTAATTTATCTTGAAACGTTTTGTTATTGGTGTCAGGACAACTTCCTAGTTCTTAATACGAGGAAAACAAAGGAAATGATTATAGACGTTGGAATGAAGAAACCTACGTATAGACCTGTTCTGATTAATAGTTGCAGCATCGAAGTTGTCCCAGAATACAATATCTCGGCACCATCACTGATGAAAAGCTCAGTTTTACTGCGAACACCGACAAAATCTACAAAAAAATCCAACAAAGACTACTTTTTACGACGGTCAACTCTTTTAATGTCAATTCTTTCACTTTTGTTTTATATTAAAAAACAAAGATTTGGGGTCCCTTTCAGTACAAAATACAAACAAACTGTCCACAATCATCAATCAAGGCAGCAAATTAATTATCAGGAGTCTCTTTGGAAAATCTGACTCTTTTAGGCACGTGGCATGTTGGAAAAAACTAGCTTACAAGATTGCTTCCGACTCCGAGCACTTTCTTCACAATGAATATATTCCTTTACCTTCTGGATGCCGCTTTCAAACTCCACTTTTTAAAACTAACAGCGAATCAAAATAATTTATTCCAACCAGCATCGCTATTTTTAAAACCAGTAAATTCACGCTAAGTTTTATCAGTTGTATTCTCATACGTCAACCTGACATTGTATCTTCTGTATTTTAAATTATAAGCTCCTGCATCAAGCAATTACCTTTATGTCTTTATATTTCACTCTCCTCTTATGACCTGTTTGAGTGCTATTTTTATTCAGTAAAGTTTAAATTATACATCATTTACCATAAACTGTACATGTTTATACCAGTTATCATTGCTGTGATGTGATTGAATGTATTACTTGTTATGTGTGTCGTGTCATAGTCCCCTTGTGTAAATACTGTGTTGTTGTGTTGATTCGCATATAGTTACATGTGCTATTTACTGCTTTTACGTATTGTAGCATCTGACGTACAACAAATTCGCTTTGGGACAAATAAAGTATTTATTTATTTAATTACAGATTTTATTCAGGTGAACTATCTTTTGCATGGGGCACGGAATATGCTCACCTCCTCTCGAACACCTGGTATCTTCACTATTGGCAATTCATGAACACTTGCTCATGATATAACCAAAATCGTACTATCGACTCTACTTTTGGCAGTGATTGCTTGTGGGTGTGGAAAGGGTTGTCGTCCACTCCCTATAGACAGTTGGACCATAGTCGATTGGACAACGTTCATTTCTTGGAGTGCTTGTCCACTCCGAAGTCCACGCTTCTTGCCTAAATTGCCAATAGCTACCGAGTGCAGCCGATCATAGTGTCAACTCAATTCAGGTGCATGTAATGAAAAACATATTTTGCACAACACATTATATTAGAGGTCACTTTTGATATTTCTGAATGAACATTTCTTTGCAGTTGACCCGGCATTGATATATGAGCTTATGATGAGGGTGGTTTTATTTCGCCTTCAGCAATATTCCAGCGATGTCCCCTCATTGACTGGAAGCATTGTTGTTATGTATCCTCGGCGATTCATGTGCTAGAGGGAAGTGAAGAATTATCAGAAGAAGGTGCTGTAAAATCACCCACACTCCTTCCCAAGGTTACATAAAACCAGATATTTTCCCATTGACTTCTCGAGTGATTATACATTTTTTTGTTAAAATTAACTGTGATATCAACAGCTATTACATGCACATGTGTGTATAGCCTGGCCTTAAAGACGCAATACAAATATGAAATATGACCACCTCAGCCGGCTCCTTGTCCGACTACAGGAAGCTAAACAGACTAACCCCAGTTCCGCACAAAATGTCAACCACTTGAAAATACCTGTGGTAACATTCAGTATAAGTCGTCATGGAAACAAGACAGCACTAACTATTAATAAATACATGTATAACCAGTTACAATTACTGGATGAAAACAGGAAGATCTTACAAAAAAATCACCCAGTCACAACTGTCAGAATATTCAGTCTGCACTGAGTGCTTGTTAAGCTACGGATCCTGATTTGGTGTGGTGTAACCTCAAGCCTCTTCTCAGAAAAAAAGAATTCAACACTTTTCCTTGTCACATTTTATTACCATACCATGACACATTTCTATCATTCATTATGGTCTGCTACTTAATATATCCAACAGAGATGATATGGAACAGTTCCCGGAATCAAAGTGCATCATAAGATGAAAGCAGGAAAAGTGACATTTCAGACATTCCGCAGACAGTAGGTCTGTAGACTAACCTTGGCATCGTATTCTGTGAAGTCCTGGGGCATCGCGTCTTTGTCAGCGTCACCACCGTGGGCCTCGGTGAAGTCGTACACGTATTCGTCACAAATATCGCCTGTGATAAAACAACGAGCTGGCTGTCTGATCAACTAGCACCACTGAAACAGACCAATCTGGAATTCACAATATTATACAGGCACCCCGATGCAGTACTCACTGAAACACTTATGTTGTGATACAATATATGGAGTCACACATATGTAGTTTAATCGGTAATAACGATGATGAAGGAACCGTGAGACATGGTGTATTCATAATAAAGAAATGATTTCAGCCAGACTGTAGGGCTGGCTAAAATGATCGATCATAAAAAATTATTCATGATTATCGATATTGTCGTACATGAACTTTTGTGACAGAAACAGGTTTTGATTTTCTCACACGACATACAATTTTAGGGCTTTATTCATGGTCTGCGTCTTAATTGTGTTCAGGACTCCGTGTGGTAGGACAGTCGGGGGGTGAATCAGGTGTTTTATACAGTGCCGCTTTGGCAAGACCCACAAGCGCTGAGAAGCTGCAACCTGGGATTCGAACCCGTGATCACAGGATTCGAGGAAGCTTAAGAAACGCAATTCTAATTAGCGAACTACAGCACCTTAGACGAATAGATGTGGTGCCATTAATACAACACAATCGTATGAATAGGTATTTACCGTATCATTCCTTCAGCTGTCCTACACTGAAGTGATAAGGAGTCCCTGTAAAGAAGGACACACATGTCAGTAATCCCATTAGATACATCCTGAACACAGCCCGACACTGGTTTTGTGGAAACCAGACACATCCCTCACCTCTCTGTAGACCCTCCTCCTATTGGACCTCACCTTACCAGAAGCCCATCCCTTGCATCAAGCTTATTTAAAGTGATTTTTCAAGGCGAGTGACGTTCGTAGTAACGTGTCCATATAAGGAATGTCACATGATCATATTCATGACCTCTTACAAGATCTCTGACCCTATTATGAATAACGTGCAGACAAACTACGAGAACTGTTTACGGCTTTGTTTCCTGACCTCAAACTCTCTGCTCCAATGCAGGGAATCTCCAGACAATACTTTTCACGTCTCGCTCGTTTTTAGGGGTGTTTAGCTCCAGTAAATCTCCTCATGGATAGTGTTTAAACCACGCCCACGGAAGCAGGCTATTCATTCATCAGGACCAGCTGAATGTCGGGGAATCCCCGCCACAGTTGAGGGAATGACCTCCATTCTCACCTTTGTCATACACACACAGCCGTTTAGAGAAGGCCTTGCATATTCATTGCCCGAACCACCGTGTAAATGAGAAAGCAAACCCGGCTCGTTCACATATGTAACTTTGGATGGATTCTTTCATTTTGCACATCAGTTTTAAAAAGAACCCAAATAGTACACATTCAATCCTCCAAAGTTTGAATATATTTTAGTACTGTATATCTACCTTCACGTTCCACGCTGGACTGATAACATATGGTCATATAGTTTTGCATTTAGACACATGTATTCGTATCAAACCGAACGGCCTCCAATCAGTCAATCCACTGTATAACACAATACTTTTACACATACACATAAAACAAGTTGACATCGATGTAATCGTAGACAGAAAGGTTCCTTAGGACTGATATAGAAATTCAGGCTGGTGACAAACTAGTTTATCAGGGATCTATGTATCTCATTTGTAAAACTTTTTACACTCTACAAGGTAAGGATTGGATTGTCTGGTAATATTTGTGTTTGTGTGGAATATTTCCACAGTGACTGGTTTGGATTGATACTTTGGGGTTTTAAATTATAATAATATGGTGTGATTTGATGTGTCCAGTTTAGTTTGTCGCTATGAAATGTTAGAATGTGAAGTCACATGAATTAAGCGACATCTTTTTCATTCACTGGAGTGACTGGACGGAAATTCGGAGATTTTAAACTGAAGCGATTTACAGTGTGTCAGTGAATTTGTGAAAACTATTTTTATAATGTTGTTACGTTTTCCTGCTACTATGTCATACCATACTGGACTGAATGTTGTCGGTCAAAGGCGATAGAACGGTTGTTATGTATTAGCATTCATAAGAGCAGGACGTCTTAAGGTAGGTATATGTCCCAGAAAGTTGCTATGTATCTTTCCTATGACCCTCATATTTCACAAAGCAAAATTCTTACTGGTACATATGAATTGAGAACTGGAATTTGACAAACTGTTTCAGCAACTGTATTCAGTGTTAGGCTGAGCCGTCACTTCTATCAGCCACTCTAAATATAACACTACTGGTCCTGACCGATTCTTCATAAGCAAGAGGTTCACGGTGGACCTTTCTCCAGGGACACAGGTACAGTATCTCCCATGAATGCAGTGACGATGCTGGGACCACAGGCCCTCGTATCTTATCGAGGATTAAAGATTAGAAAGAAAAATATCGAAATAACAATGAAAAGAAGGACCTCAACTTACTCCTGTTGGGTGGGTGCTCTTCTGGTTTACAAAACAAGACGTTACATGGGCAGAATGTGAAACACACCCCATTTTCAGAAAGACATGTGCGTTGATATTTGGTGTCACCTCACTATATTGTCACGAAATTGTAGACATAAAACATGGATCAAAATGACCACATTGATTAAATCTAGTTAGCGTCGCAGTTTTAGTAAATGTGATAGCGTATATTTCGATGATGTGGCCCATTTTCTCCTGTGGTATGCTGGAACTAATTACTGAACGACCGGTATTAACAACTAGAAAATAACACATTTTATCTGTAATGATGAAGTTCTGAGATACACACATACACATTCCCAGGTGAGGCTTAAGTTTGCAGTCACGTTTAGTAAAAGACAGGTATCAATTGTTCATAATGCGTCTATTTTCTGATTGTCATACACATAAAAAAGCTGTAGCTACATGTATATCTGGGGATGGAGTGTAGTGGGGAATTAGGGTCCATACAGTTTTGGAAACTGTTGGTATTAAAACCACAAAAGTGAACTAAAGTACTGTCGGAAATGCTAGAAAAATGCTTTTTGACTTATATTTCAGAGGTATTACAGTTACTTAAATAACAAATATCACTTTAAGAAACATCTACCTAACGTAGACCGAGGGAATAAATTTTGAGACATGCCCTAAAATGTATCTTTACTGATGAAAATACCAAAAACTTAGAAAAATAACGGGTAGTGGGACGTTATTTGATACAAAGATTAACTGCCTGTGTTACGTCATCAGCATGCACGGTATCGACAGGTGAAATTGACACCTGAGCACACGCTCGGGGCAGGGGTCATCGCAATAGATGTTTTCTTCAAAATGTTGAATATGTGTACGTATAGTAAACGTATTGGTTATGTAAGGGATCATTTGTGTATGTGTGTATGTGTGTTTGTTTTGAAATAAACATACGAATTACTGTACATTGGAAAGAATCCTATCACTTGTGTTATCTTATCGACTGATTGTAGAAATGTGCAACGTTTTAATAAATGTTTTGCATGTCAACAGTATATTTCATTGCAAAAATATGGATGTAATTCGGTCAGTTTAATCTAGTTGTGAACATTGGCCAAAGATTTAACGAAGTCACTGGTGTAGCCTCTTTTGAATATATATATTCTTCTTCTCATAAAATTTGTATACCGCCCGTCTAAGTACTCCTTTGTCAAAGTTGTCAAGATTGGTTTTACGTCCCGGTTTTGCTTTTGAGACGGTCCCTGTCTTGTCTGATTTGTTTACAATATTGTAAACTTGTTGGTAAGACATACCAACAGCTCTACAAGTTCTGTAATAAACCCTTTCTAAACAAATGAAAGGTTTACCTCTGTCTTTTTCAAGCACAAAAAACGTACAAACCTTTGCAACAATTGACTGCAAATAGTTGGCCATAGTGGACGCTGTGATAAAGATGTGCATGCATGACGGGAACCTTATTTATCAAGACTTAACATTAATATTAATATTTCTCCAATAAAGAAACGATAATTAAGTAAGGTAACACAAACATTCAACATTTATTTGTTTAGGAAAAACGTTGATTCATATTTTTACACCACCTGTATTATTAGCATAAATGTAAAGACAATTTCAGATTTCTGTTGTTGAACTCTGAAAAAATCCTAAGTTGTTGTTTTGGTACCATATTCTCTCCTGTAATCTGCCCTTTAAATGCATGGGAATGTTAAATCGATTGAAATAAAAATTAGGTACACGAAAGGCGAGTTGATATATTGACAACATAGTACATTTATGACCTTTATAAAGATATTAAGGCTAAAAAGCATTTTTCTAGCATTTCCGAAAATACTTTAGTCATACGTGTAGGTTGAGATAGGTGACCTCATTTGCATATTTTTCGGATCCTATTTCCCAACTGTTTTGACGCCACTATAACACCATGCATTATATGATAATCAGAATTTACCTGCCTTTCAAAGGTAGTCTGTGTATAAAATCCCTGATTTGGAGAGGGATGAAGATAACGTGTTTGTTTGTTGTTTAACGCCGCACTCCAATATTCCAGCTATATGGCGGCGGTCTGTAAATAATCGTGTCTGGACAACCCAGTGATCAACAGCATGAACAGCTATCTACGCAATTGGAATACGATGACCTGTGTCACCCAAGTCAGCCAGCCTGACCACCCGATCCCGTTACAAGCATGGGTCGCTGAAGACCAATGAAGGACCTTCAAGGGTCGATCAGGTGATGAACGGAGTCTGACGCTACACAAGTACAACCAGGCAAACTCGTACCAGCCGTTATACCTTCAAGTACTGCTACCACCGTGGTATCCTGTGGGATGGGATGGAATAATACTCCACCACCATCTGCACATTACAATCAAGTTCGGACACCTGGCCTCGTGGTCAAGCCAAGATCAGAATAGTCATTGATTGAAGTAATGCATGTTAGTGGTCGAGAACAATAAAACCGAAATCAGTTAGGAATAGTATAAGAGCGAACACATACATGTACACACAGAGAGACACAGGCTGCAGCCTTCTAACCACACTCGTCCTTCAATGCTAACATCAGTCAAAACACCGTAACGAATCTGCATATACAACGCGACACTTATTTCATACTTAACGGTAACTGTGTTCATGCGCACAACGGACATACGTGGATTGTGAGAGGGTGAATTGTCAATGACAGGCTCATCGTCATCAAGGTAGGACAGATGCTACGTATTCTCACACCTATTGAACTCATCATCTAAATTACAAATAAATTATGGTATAGGTTTCATGACGACCTGTGCCTCGTGGGCTGTAGCACAGATCCTCTCTTCATCCACACACATCTATGATAACTCTGGCTTTGACGCCGCTCCTATCCCGTGTGTTACACACACACTTGACACAGCAAGGTGAGGTCAATAGTCTCATCATAACGCACGGCGGGTATAGTGGATGTGTTATAACGGGGTGAACTATTGCCGTATAGTGCACAGAGATAGCAATGGAAAATATACTCGGCACAGGAAAGTTGTGATTCGAAATTATCGAAAGTGATTCACTCATAATTCTTACAGGTGAAATCATGCTTCCTGACATATTTTTCTCTCTGTTTATTTTAATCCAGCAAATACGTGTATATTTCTTTGTCTTAACTTAGATTTTCAGTTTTGAACGAATACTTAAAATCAATATGACCTGATTTTGTAGGTTAATTAAACGTTTTCTGTGTGTACGTACAAACACACTTGTAACCATGGTTACACGAAATGCGTAATTCATTCAGGAACAGAAGGAGTCCCGAGAATTCCACGGTGGTCGTAAACCTGTTAAAGTGGACCTGTTGGTCGCTGGTCGTTGTTCATGTCTTGATTCAGACACTGGTGCTGTAATCCAGGCTCGTTTGTGTACAGACCCCCGTGAGTGAGTGAGTGAGTGAGTGAGTTAATTTTATAGTCACATCGGCAAAATTTCAGCCATGCCGTGACTAAAACAGGTTACATCCGTGGGCTTGTTGGAATATGACAGCATTAAACAATATTCATTCACTATGTGTGATTTATTTCGTTAAGTTTTGAAAAAATACCCCCCAAATCCCCCAAGTTAAATAACAATAGTAAATCGACAAATATAAACAATGTCAGAGTTTCTGGTCTTTCTCAAACCTGGGGGAGGGATAAGGTGGTCCATGATGACGCAATTCCCTGTGCGTGTGGATTTCAATAAAATGGAGAAAATAATCTTCCACGAGCTGAAAATGTCTTATAAAAGGTTATCCTAACAGTGGAGCGGGAGGGTAGCCTAGTGGTTAAAGAGTTCGCTCCTCACGCCGAAGATCCGGGGTTCGATTCCCCACATGGTTACAATGTGTGATGTCCATTTCTGGTGTCCCCCGCAGTGATATTGCTGTAATATTGCTGTAATATTGCTAAAAGCGGCGTAAATCCCAACTCTCTCAGTCACTATATCTTAACAGCGTTGAATCCTTTCAACATTTCAGACCACTCTTTAAACATTGAATAGCCCGGGCATGGAGATAGCTTTGTACGTTTATAGATAGCGAAAAAAGGTGACTTCGCAGAACGTTCTTCCATTCACCCATTTTGTTCTGGGGAGGTAAGGGGGTCATCAAATTTGTACACATGTTTCTAGGGGGGGTCAGCAATTTTGTACCTAAAAATATTTTTAAATTATGCTTAAAAATATTGGAAGGGGGAGGGGGGTCATTGATTTTGTACATGACATGCAGGGGAGTCTCTTACTTTGTACATAAATTTTAGGGGGGGTGTCATTCACATTGTACATGCTTCTCCATAAAATATAATCATCCTCAACCCCCCTGGTATAAATTATGAACGGTCCCTTAGGGCAGGTGTTTGATTTGAAGGTCAGGAATAATTTAAGATATTTGGCGTTCTCTTATGTACCTCAACATATCCTTGCTTTATTTTTATAACAGGTACCTCGTGGAAATTCCTGGTCGGATAAGTCCCCAGTCATCACATTGGTTGAGGCAACTAAATGTATTTGGAGGTGAGGCTCGGTGATTTGGTTTATAGTGTGTCATTGTCACTGTGACCAGGTTCGCAGTGGGGAAACGTAGTTTCATGACCTCGTGTTTTTATTTAAATTTGCACAACTTGGGCCTCAATTGTATATGAAACATCGTTTTAACGACTAAAGTTGCGCCTCGTGATGATGACCTTATTATACTCATGCCAATAATGGTTGTGACCCCCTTCTATTTGTTTAATTGGAGAGGGTGTGTGGTGTGTGGTGTGTGGGGGTGGGGGTGGGGAGGGGGATGACAACCATTATTGGCATGAGTATATAATGCTTAGTTTACATGATAGAGGGAAGCCTAATATAATTCATAAATATTTTAACCTTTGATGGGAGAGGTAAATACTAAAAGCCCACCCGGAGGTTGCCTACCTCGACGTACGCTATTCGCGCCTTTCAATGTATTTGTGCTTATACTGAAATATCCTCTCGGGGAAGTATTCCGAACAGGACCCAAGTTTGTACAGCAGTGTCCGTGCTCAGAGGAAAAGTCAAAGATCAGATTTACCTAACAGATGGTTTGATCCGATATCTGTTCATCAATTTTCGCAACCTATGCCTGTGTAGTGTGAAATTCCTGTGCTGACTTCTACATGTGAGTGAGTGAGCATAGTTTTACGCCGCACTCAGCAATATTCCAGCCATCATGATGGCGGCAGTCTGTAAATAATCGAGTCTGGACCAGACAGTCCAGTGATCAACAGCATGAGCATCTATCTGCGCAGCAGGGAACTGATGACGTGTGTCAACCAAGTCAGCGAGCCTGACCACCCGATCCCGATTGGCATGGGTTACTGAAGATCAATATTCTAACCCGGACCTTCACGGGTATACTTTTACCCGTTGGGCTGATGGATATACTCACAGGGTGTCGGCCCCGCAAGAAGGCAGGTCGGTTTAGTGTAGTACCGACGGTCAGACAAACTAACGTGTGTTAAATCTGCTTATGGCTAAAATATATAATGGCCGTTGTTCACACTGTGATACTTTGGAAAAACCATCACATCTTCATGACACTTCGGTGAAACGGGTAAGGCACAAAAACAGCAACGATCTAAATCAGTCTGGGCCTAGATTTTCGAAGCTCTCTTAGCGCTAAGATAGTCGTGAGTTAATGTTAATGTATGGCACTTACGACTATCTTAGCGCTAAGAGAGCTTGGAAAATCTAGACCCTGGTATCCAAAGCCACGGGTACATGGACAAATTTCGGCGTGGGTTATGGTAATATAAACACCCCGAACTCGGATCAACTGGATAAACGTCAATTTACCGTAGGCTTTACATGGTGTAATCTCGTTAACCACAGTGATCCAAAAAGCCACGCGTCTAGACAGCGTTGAACAGTGAGGTGAGTGAGTGAGTTAAGATTTTAAGTCACATCGGCCGTATTTCAACCATATCGTGACCAAATCAAGTTATAGAATTATAATAATTCAAGGTAAATCATAAAAACCTGTCAACAAAGGACAGTAAAACAACTAGATTATCACAGATATAAGTTTAAAACTAGTAATTAAATAAAGTTTACTATACATGACAAGACAGGCGGTAGATTGCCAACAACTGAAGGTATATCACCATACAGCGCTGAACGAATAAATTTTTAGGTATTTTAGGTACATTAATAATTATTCAATTAAAAAATGCATTCATCCGGACATATGTTTATCCGAACAATGACGCACACTAACGTCTGGATTTACGGGCTTCCACTCTATAACTGTTCTCTCACTGGTGAAAATGATTGTACTCGGGTCAGTACTTGACCAGTTAGGTATATCTGTTATCATTCTGAATGTAGATGTGAGGTGCCAAATTGACCCCGATGACGGAGAACTGTCCAGATGAATCTTCCCAATCCGTTGTCTCGGTAGACGACGCACAGCAACGCGTTGATGATTGGCTGAAATCCTGGGACGATGGAACCCTGGGATCGCTGATGGATACACACCCGGACCCGTAAGTTGCCCACCATCTTCACAGCATGTTTGCTTTGCTGTATATCAAGTATATCTTCCTGCGTTAAAGGCATCGAGCCTTGTCTTTGCAATCGGTTATTCAAAACTATATTCTTCACGACCGTCATCCTTTATCGTTTCTGGTCCATATTCTGTTCGGCAAAGTAATGAAACCATTTCGATTATTATGATCGATAAACTAAAAGTGTTTGCCCTTAACCCTGAAAGGCTGCATGCCCTAAGGACCCAGAACATAAAAGGTTGTGAGTCCTGATAAGAGTGTGCAGGCCCTATATTTTAGATACAATATAAGTAATTTCGATGATAGATATTTTCTGAAAGATATTACTCTTAGTTACAGGGGATGAAAATGCTCTTGTCCATAAGGACCTGCAGAAAACAAAAGCTGTGGGTCCGAGTGGTTTCAGTCGGCTTCGGGCCTAAGGACCGACGTTGATTTCAAAAGCTATGATCGATTAGAACAGCAGCCCAGATTGAGGGGGCAGGCATCACCTTATTCATAGACGTCATGATTGGTAGACAAGCATAATTTGCGACCTTTATCAGACTTTTGGGGACTTGTGATTTCACTGTACACTCTGTATTTGGTCCAGATGTCTGGTGGAACATTTTCATGACCTAATTGGTGGACGCCCGCACCTTAGAATCCTGGTACCTCTGTGTGGAACATGTCTGGATATGAAGTGGTGAGTTAAGAACCTTTGTGGTGTCACTTTAAATACGAACTATCGGGAGATCGTCCATATGTGACCGTAACACCAATACGGGTTCGTCTGAACACATGCTGACCAATCGTAAAAACGATGTCTCCGAGTACAATTTCATCAGAAATACATTTCAGACTTCTTCAATATTCAATATTCATATTCATCAAGGACACGGTGGCTGTATCTCATTCTTGTATTATATGTCGTGACTTCACCAATTGTATTGTGATTACGACTGTACGTTATTGCATTCTTTCCATAGGAAGTACTTTATCGCGACCTTTTGATCAAAATACGTACTGCATCAAAACCGAACTATCGTAATGCGTACTTATAGAGATCTAATGATCGTAACACCTACTGTAGTGTGACTTAACTATCGTACGTGTACTATGTATTGACCTAATCAGATTGTACAGACCAGAAGCAGTAAAGCAACACCTCATGTTGTAGGTTTGTTGAGCGTAGCCACAGCGTGGTTGGCGTGGACGTCTCCGAGGTGGCGGCCAGACTGTTCTTTGACCGGAACCAGATCCCCCATACAGTGCATGACCTTCCGCACGTGCAGGGGAAACTATATCAGGTACTTGGCGTCACTATGGCAACATATGTCACACTACAGATACTTTATATCTCCAACAGTTCGTTGTATTTCCTTGTTGGAACCCCCCCAAAAAAAACAAAGTTAACCTAACACCCTTTCCTCAGCTTATTGCGACCAAGCGTTCAGTACATCTGGATATTGACCCATGAAGATCCGGGTTAGAATTGATCTTCAGTAACCAATGGTTGTCGTAAGAGGTAACGGGATCGGGTGATCAGGCTCGCTGACTTGGTTGACACATGTCATCGTATCCCAATTGCCTAGATCGATGGTCATGCTGTTGGTCACTGGATTGTCTGGTCCAGGCTCGATTATTTACAGCTGCCATATAGCTGGAGTATTACAGGGTGAGACCAACCAACCAACAGCTGGCCAATATGACGGCACATTTTCTCTACAATCTGGAAGAATAGCTCTTGTCTTTTTAACTCCTTCGAGTCTTGTGTTATCAAAGACTTTTCGAGCAGGAGACTTAGCCTGATGGTTAATGTCTTCGTTGGTCTGGTGTCCCAGCCGTGATACCGTTCGAATAAAAACCTCACTCGCTCACTCACTCACTCACTCACTCACTCACTCACTCACTCACTCACTCACTCACTCACTCACTCACTCACTCACTCACTCACTCACTCACTCACTCACTCACTCACTCACTCACTCACTCACTCACTCACTCACTCACTCACTCACTCACTCACTCACTCACTCACTCACTCACTCACTCACTCACTCACTCACTCGAGATTCGAGCCAGGAAGTATTTACTGCTTAAATCAACAAAGATACGTAAGAGATAAATCAATGGATATTTGCATTTCTATCTGATGCGGAAGGTCTTTTAAAACAACCTTTCCAAGTTGCTGATATGAATGTTTCGAATGTTGACAGTCAACGGATGGTGCCCTCAAATTCTACGTGATCAACTTCTACGATTTTAACGAGTAAGTATATTAAGAACTTTCACATAATCCCTGCTCTCTGTCGATATATAATCCCATATAATTCAGCAATATGGTTTCATATGTCAAGCTAGTTTTCAGGAAAGATCGTACACAGAAGATATAACTTAAAGACTTTGTACTATTAAGTGAGTACATGAACATATTTTGACCCCATACTGACCTTGAGGATTCGAACCTGGACCAAACAGACCCGCTGACAAAGGTCTGTTTGGAAAGGTGTGCAAGGTCACTGGATCTTTACTAACATTCAAGCTGATATCCCAGCAGGAATGGGCGAGGTTGACATCATCGTCTTTTTAAGAGTTGCGTCCCTTTGTTACGTCAGGAGCATAAGATCGAGAGTTCGATTCTCTGTTCGCCCTGCTTATTTCGACGTTTTGTCAGCAAAATACCCGTGTCGTCGTATTTCACCAAACACGACCTGGATGTAACTGAGCGATATTGTTAAAGGCGGCGTTAAACCGAGCTAACCCCCTCACTTCCAGGTCAGGATAAAACCTGCAACCCTTTTTCACAAGCATATACGGTTCCACATTAGTAATTTGTTGTCACATATCTATGTTTCAGAAACCTGGAGGGTCTGTTTGATGTTGTGTGGGACACCGGGTCTCTTGGCTCTATCGATGTTCGAGACAGAGACCGGTAAAATGCATACATTATACCATACAACTCGACTATACGGAGTTTATGTTATGACTTTATTTTATATATTTTATAGACTGACACAGTAATACCAGTTTGATCCAATATGAGAATCGAACCACGCCAGTGTTCAGGCCGGTTGAACGGCTAAGGTGATGCAGTTCGCTGGCTGAGCAGACTTGCCTCCCTTGGGCGTGCCAGAATCCTGTGGAGGTGGATTCTTATCCCATTCACAAAAATGTTATATAGATTTGTAATGAGACCAGTATCCCGTGTGTCTTTCCACCAAAGTTAACACGCCGTGTAAGGGGTTGGGGTAGCCTTGTGGTTAAAGCGTTCGCCCGTCACGTCCGAAAACCCGGGTTCGGTTCGTCAAATGGGTACAATGTGTGAAGCCAATTTCTGGTGTCCTCCGCCGTGATATTGAGGGAATATTGCTAAAAGCGGCATAAACCTGAAACACACTCCCTAACACGTCGTAATATAACTGTAATACCGTTCAAACCGGCGTCGACCAAACTTTGCTCACTTACCCAAAAGAGGCTGCACGAGATGCATATGGAGATACTGGTATCCTATGCAAGGACGCTGCAAAGGGCGTCTCAAGTCACCATATATTTATGGAGTACGGTGACCTTTAAATAGATTTGATGTAACAGAATCACACTCCGCTATTCCTTCGGCTATACTCCTAACCCTAAACTAGAATATATATCCGACATTGTATTGGTTCACATATATCGCCCTTCTCTCTTCAGGTATATGACCGCCATTAACAGCGTACTCAAACCAAACTGCGTCTACTTGCTCGAGACACTGGTGTTTGACAAAACGAAATTTGAAGGTATGCATATCAGATTCAATACAATCTCATGATTCAATACAATCTGTCATTAAATACTGCGAGGCCATACAAATACGAGTGTATCAGCGTGTAGCCTTGTGGAGAATGCGATAGCTCGTCATGCCAATATTCTGGGTTTGTTTCTCCACATGGCTACAATACAATTCGATTATCCGATGTCCAAGGTTCGTAATAAATGTAATATTATAAAAAACCAATACCTCAATATCAGTATATTAATGCTTATCTTCTCACTAATTACAATATTTTAACTCGCAAATCTGGATGGATATATACTCATGGAAACTAATAAGGGAACACATGAATGTACAAGTGTTCCTTTATTTATTTTCAGAATTTCACTCACAGTGCAATACATGCTATACCTTGTGAAGAAACTTGGAAAAGAATAAAGGAACACTTGTATTTTCATGTGTTCCCTTATTTGTTTCCATGAGTATATATTCTCATTCTACACACTCAATGCTTTCTCTGTGCTTACAGGTCCGCCCTATAGTTTCCACATCGAAGATGTCCCGGAAGTGTTTGGTAAAATATTTCTATAGATAAAATTTTCAAAAGTATTATGTTTACTGTTTTATAAAGTATTCTACTGGAATACAGTAACTGCGCTTTATTTGATGCTATGCCTTTTTTTAATGCAAAGTAGATAATAACATGATTTATGAAGTTTTCCTGGGGTTATTTGTCACGGGATCCATGTGGATAACCTGTTTCGGTGGACACTTAAAATCCGTGATGACGTATAGTTTGGATAATTGTCCTATAGCTTGTGCTTTTTCAAAAACAACTGTGTGACTCTGTTTTAGGGAACAAGTTTACCGTGGTCAAAGTCGCAGAGCATGACTATGACGTCCCTGAGGATGACTGGGATATTGAAGAGGGTATCCAGGATATCGGATTTCGATTCCACTTTTATTGTCTCACACGGATGTAACACCGCTCAGTCAACTCCATCACCGTTTTGTATAGCATGTTGCATGTTGGGGGGGGAGGGGGGTGTGTGTGTGTGCACGGTTGAAGTTCTGTGACGTCACAACTAAAACCAGCGCTGTGGGGCATAATCACTTCCCCATGGCCTCGCCCTAGAGTACACACGAGTCATTGACGTCAGGTTTCTGATAATGGATGGACACCCGACGTTTAGGAGTACATTCTTACCCCTTCATCAGAACATCGTCCATAAAATACTGTTCGTGTACATTCGGGGCAGTGGGGTAGCCTTGTGATTCTCTCGTCACACCGAAGACCCGGGTTCGATTCACTATATGGGAGCACTGCGTGAAGCCCATTTCTGGTGTCCCTCGCCGTGATATTGCTGGAATATTGCTTAAAGCGACTTAGAACCAACCTCACTCACTTACTCACTCACTCTTGTATACACAAATGCCAAAGGAGATTCGGCAAAAACTATCAGAAAGGAGTCGCGGTATTGGTGGTAAAGTCGTTTAACCGTCAGTTGTTAGATATTCGGCAGCTGCCTTGTAATAATCATTTGTTAAATGCCTCTTCCTTGGGAAGTTGATTTGCTAAAGAGAGTTTAGTACTAACAGAGTGGTGTCCCTTTGTAAGGCAAATGAAACGGTTGGAACATTCATCATCCGACAATAACTCAGATGTTGCCTGATGTGTTGATATAACTAAACGTAATAGCTCCAGTCTATCTATAGTGCAGTTTGTTAGCACTTTGATCGCCCCAAACAAATCTCCAAGGTATTCATGGCTCCATGTTTCAAAGCTGACTTTTGTTCTGTTGTTTGGGTGCAATTTCAATGTTAGTAAATTGATACTTAATAATGGACTCTTAAAGTGCTCTTGTACCAAAGAACCTAGTGGTTACTGGATTGGGTCGGCTTGTCGGATTCCTTGTATTCTTCAATGTGTGAAGCTCATTCTTCATTCACTGAAGCCAATTCTTAGCTTGATTATTGCCAAACGTTGCATAAAACAGAACTCACTCACTCATTCTCTTGAGATTGTTCCAGTATGCGAGATAAATGTTTATGAATGACTTGATCTCGTCACTATATGGCTGGAATAATGCCGATGAGACATATTTTAGCCCAACTCATCTCAACTCAGGTTGACGTTCAACGTTCATCTCAGCAATATTTGAAAAGGAGCGAACATTTGTTTGGCCATCTTTTCAAAGAGCAGGTATTCTGTAAAGACTATCACAATCAGCTAAAACACGAAGTTGTATTTTGCTGAAAAATGATATTTCAATGGTACTCCCTGTGTATTAGAACTAACCCCTCTATTTCTAGGGGGCGGTGAGGTAGCCTAGTGGTTAAAGCGTTCGCTTGTCACGCTGAAGACCCGGGTTCGATTCCCCACATGGGTACATTGTGTGAAGCTCATTTCATGTGTCCCTGGCCGTGATATTGCTAGAATATTGCTAAAGCGGCGTAAAACCAAACTCACTCACACACTCACTCACTCTATTTCTCGTACAGTGCAATATTTCTTATGCAATACAAATGCCTTATTGGCGTGCGTTATGTCAACCACAAAGGTAAGACAAAAAAATTGTGTTTTGCGATATTTAGCTTCATATTCTTTTGTAACAATTGATTGTTATTATATTAAAATAAAATACTTTCACATTACAACTTCCATTCTGTGCATATCTAGCCTCAAAAATCAATCTACAAATACGATTAACGAACAATATGTACCTGCTGAGGCAAGAATAGTTGATCACATCTCCATAAGATGCCCATGTTCAGGCAGCGTTTATACAGACTCGGTACCATGTTTGTTACTAATTAGGGTTATAACCGAAAACTAGATTGCTATGCACCAGAGTGTATACAGATCACACCGGCGTGATGTGGCCTTAGTGAAAGACTTCATTTAGCAAGCTCTGTCAGTTGACTCGTCGACCGCCTCCGTGTTGTAGTGGTTAGAGCGTCCGCCCGGAGAGCGGAAGGTCGCGGGTTCGATTCCCGACCGCGTCAAAATATGGTACTTGTTGGTCCCTGCCTGACGCTCGGCATTAAGGGTACATGAAAGACTGGTCGGCTCGGAGTATAATGTGTCTGAGTGGGGTATTCATGCTTCACTGCCGCATGGTATCTCAGTGGGCTAGCACTATAAAACCAGCTTAAGTCTGAGCTAGTACAAGCAGCCACACATACACATACACACGCATGCACGTCGTCATATGAGCGAAATATTCTCAAGCACGACGTAAAACCCAATTTCACCTCACCTCACTTACAGCCTCGTCAACTGATTATCAAATTAATTATAAAAGTCTGCAACCTATGTGCTCAGCACCCAACTCGGGCTTGACCTCATCATGTCTGTCTCACAGTCCCTGTCTCACAGTCCCTGAACTGCATCATTACCCTTTCTCTCTAGCCCTTTCTACAATGCAAAAGCCCTTAAAGAAGCAAGTCAAGGTTTCCTCAGGCTCTGAATCTCCCAACTCTCACTGGGGATCTGTTTAATTTAAATGGAATTATTGTTCTATACAACTGACTATATTCTGGATCGTTGTCAGTCCTATGAGAGCGGTTTGGAACTCGCAGAGAAATACCAACGTCAGTCCCTCTTCCTCAGACAATAATTCTGTAAGTGGATCACAAGCTTTTCCTCCTCTCCCACAGCCTCTTCCTGCTTCAGCGGTTTCCCGTCTTCGTCCACGTCCCCGTGGTAGGTTTTGTAGGGGTTGAAGTCGTATTGGTCCTGATACTTCACGTCGCAGTAGTCGCCTTGGGAAACAACACATGCCCATGTGGTTAGGGGAAATCAGTTTTTTAAGAAAACCATTAATCCAAATATAAATTGTTCGTGTTCGTCATGACTTATTTTATGTCAGAAAAATATGTTGCCGAGTGTAAGATCTCCGTGTTTGTTTATCATATCAATCAAGTCTTTTCTCCTTCATCACGATTCAGTCCACAGAAAACAAAAAGAAATTCGCAACAAAGTTTTAACAGCATGATTCGGAACTACAACCGCTTGTGGATACGACTAAGAGAGTGCCATCCATGCAGTTGTTAATTTTGAGGAACAAAGTATTTCGATTGCCCCGACTATCTAACCTTTGTCCCCGGATCGCGATATGGCTGGATAATCCTAAATGCGGCGTAAACCTCTCCTCACTCACTCACTCACTCTAACGTTGGTATCAAGCTAGGTAGGACATTCATGACATTGATTCAATACGTGATTCAATGATAGGAGAGATTCTAAACTGATCCTCAGAAATACAGGCGTTACCGTAAAGCTCTTTTAACTGTTCCTCACTGAAATAGTAGGGTGCTCCTGAAATTAAACAAAGAATAGATTTACACGCATATATATAATATAATATGTAATTGTGTGTTTGTTTTCTATTCGTTAATCTGGACGTGGTTAAAGCCTGTGGAGAATTGGTCTTCAGCAACCCATGCTTGTGGTAAGGGGAAATAGCGGGATCGAGTGATAACACTCGCTGACTTGGTATCCCAACTGCGTAAATAGACGCGCGCGCGCATGCAACGTACACACACACGTGTACACTGGGAAGTGGTAGATGTCTCTGATCGGATTGATCCATGTCAGTATAAAATCGTAATTAAGAAGTTGATTGATATATTGATATATTATATATGATATATGTTATATATCCATCAAGGTATCTACAATTTACCTGGGAAAATGTTCGTCGGAAACTCCAGCATCATTGTACACTTTGGTCCCATCACTCGTCGGATAACCTTCAAGTAACTGGAAGTACAAACACACCGATCACTAAGACCTACATGTATGCAGTACACTACACTGCATATCTACGGATATCAATGATATTTAATTACGGGTAGGATTTAAATAGGAAAACCTTTAAAAACGTGAAACATAAGCAGATAATATAAGCAGAAATTATCCTTATTTCAATCACAGAGAGAAACATTGTGGTCATCCCAAATCGCCATTCCTTTTCGCTTCTTAGGGCAAGTGGGGCGGTGGGATAGCCTAGTGGTTGAAACGTTCGCTCGTCACGACTAAGACCCCATGGGGGAAAATGCATTGTCAGTGGCATCTGGGGTCTCTGAAAAATGTCAAGATATAACAATATACATGTATAGACGCAAATGTCATGAAAGTAATAATCAGCGTTAGAAACATCGTGGCCATCCAAAATCCCCCGCCCTTTTGTATTCTTTGAGCAGGCAACGACTTCTAATGGCTTATTCGGACCCTTAGGCCTCATACATTCTCTGTATGTTCCAATACATTATAAAAATATAGTACATACGTAAGATTGATGCAGCCTTGTTGCCATTAAAAAGCTAACATCAACACTTAACACAAATGCTGACCTGCAAAAGGCACCAGTTCGTCAAGCTTTGTTATGGCAGAGAATTATCTAATTATTACTGAGGCGCACAACCTGTTTTGACATCACAAAACGACTATATTGTTGGAAGCATTGCTTATGAAACAAACGAGTTGACTGAATACATACCTGGGTCTGTCTCTGATATCAACAGCACACATAGCCTTAGAGTCCCAGATAAAGTCGAACGTTCCTTCCAAATCCCTTGGAACAGAAGGAATGTTATAACATGCCAAATTATCTCTAAATGTTTATAGGGGAGGAAGCCCAGCGGATGAAGCGTTCGCTCGTCATGCCGAAGGCCCTAGTTCGATTCCCCACATTGTCAATATGTGAGACCATTACTTGTATACTGCTGGAATATATAAAACGTCACTCACTCACTAAAAGCATATAGATAAAAGTAAGCGGGCGGCCACAATTGGGGACAATGTTTCCAATCTTTCCCAACCAAAAGATGAATATGAAAATGTGAAGAAATATGGAGAGCGTAGTTATGAGAATATTCGTTCAACATCCACAAGAATTCTCTTGTAAAAGCAGAGTCGATTGTACAATTCTGACAATATCCTGAGTGGAATATCCTTTGGAATAGTGATGATACCAAGTGTTCGCGAAATAATTCGAGAACGTTTGGTATAAGTCAAAATAGGGAATTGCATCGAACATCATTTTTGTCACTCTTGCGTCAAATTTGCATCAAATGCCCTCCACATGTCTTCCATAAAACGTTTTGAAAGCTTTACTGGGGGCTTGAATGTTGTAACCTTGACCAAACAAGTTCTGAGCAAGAGTGGTATGACGCTCTTTAAAATCTTGGTAAAGACTTGTTATGTATTTACCCAAACAATATAAGTTCCATTGTGTTACCATGAGCTAACGGAGTAGCATTTTGTTGTGTGACCCTTGACACTGTCACAATACTGATGACATGCTGAAGCCATGGCCTAATACGATCAATATCGGTCAAGAAAGTTTTTCATCTATTCGAATGTCCATCTACCTTTTGGGTACAACGTGAAACCTATCTGTTGCGTCTTTGCCCTGATATTGCTGAAATATTGATAAAAGAGAAGCAAAGACTTACTCTCCCTCTCTCGCAATGTCACTATATCAGAGTACTCACTCGTTGAAAAGGAAGAAATTGCCAGCGTAAAATTTGAAGGTACCAGTCTCATTCTGCGACAGAAGAAAGAAACATTGCATTCAATACACTGAACCTTCTTTTCAATTTTTGACAAGTTCAAGTATCTCAGTAATTGTCAAATAGATGTTTTGTATTAATATTATGATAATATTCTCAGATAAAGGCCAGCGCATTGTTGCTTAAATATTGTGCTGCTAACGCGTGCAGAGATAAGGAAATTGGTTCGCGACACATAATTCTTAGAATGACTGTTTAATAAAGCACATTGAGGGCGAAATGTAAGCGTCGGAAAAACAAATCTGGTTTCGCTTTTAGCAGAGACATAACTGAAATCTTTCTTAAAAGCTTGAAATTGAGAAACAGATAGGTAGTGTAGTGCACTTTTCCCTGACTGTGCAAATACCTTGTACAGTTTTCCGTTGATACTGGGGACGTCTTCAATGATAGGTTTCTGCTTGTACTGCTTGAAGATCCGCTGTGCGGCGCTCTCGGCCAGATCGACACCAACCACAGTGTGTCCTCGCTCACAGAACCTACACACAACGACATCGATATCAGGGGTCAGTACAGTTGTAATGTTATGTACAACAGTGTCCCTGCCCCAACAACCCGAACAGAACACTTTATCGTACGTAGATAGCCCCTTAGATGAAATACAACTAAAACTTTAAGCATAAACTCGTAACACAACAGCTCAAGATTAAAATGCATTTGTGGTAAAATCGTTTACTGGAACATCATAGCTGTTTCCTTGCACAAGTCTGTAATGTGAACCGAACTCATGAAATACACAATGCCATTTTGGAAAGTGGTCAAATGTAACATATGCTATATTTGGGATTACACTTTCGTAGTAAAGTACAGATTCTAGTACTTTTTGGGTTGAGTCCCATCCGGGATTCGAACCCACACCCTCAGATTCAGGCACCTAATCGCAAGCACACAAAGTGGAAACCGCGGTGGGTGAGCGGTCTAGGCGTCTGACTTTGTGTGCTGGCGATTAGGTGCCTGGCTCTGAGGATGTGGGTTCGAATCCCGGATGGGACTCAACCCCAAAAGTACTAGAATCTGTACTTTACTAAGAAAGTGTAATCCCAAATTATCGCACGTGTGGTCTCTGTTGGTTTGATTCCCAGCAGATGAAAGGATTTGCTTTGGACATAGCACGTCAAGAAGAAGTGTTGGCCGGTTGGTTTCAAGAAGAAGAGGCACGTCTCAGCATGGTATCGTGTATAACTTGTGTCAACTCATGGATGACAGATAACATCCTGACACTTACTGCAGACAAAACTGAGCTAACGGTAATTTCTACACCTCTCGGACTACAGCCATGTTGCATCAGTACCTTGCAGTCGGTCGGGAATCCATTCCAATCCCACTGTCCTTGAATGTCTTGGAGTCTAGCTGTACACGCCTTACAGTCCGTTTGGGTTCAAATGAGAACGAGGAATGGTTAAATAGCTTAAATAGGTATAAGTGCACAAAACATAAATACAACCGGGGTCCTGAAACCTCTGTACCCAACAGGATCTGACATCTGACGTTGTTTAAGAGACTATCATGTAATATAGTTCTATTTTCAAGCTTCACACTGAAGGGTGACGAAAGGTCGGTGGAACAGCGCGGCTGTTTCCTGACAAGTAGGGGTCATCTCCCCTGGCTGTGCTGCGTTGCACCTGAAGTGCATGCCGGTGCTGTTCCACTATCCGTTTGTCACCCCTCGGTGTGAATCGTTAAAATAGAACAATATTACATGATGGTTTCTTAAACTACTTTTTTTTTTTTAACGTCAGATTTCAGATCCTGTTGGGTACAGAGGTTTCAGGACCATGTGCCTTGATTATGTTTTGTTCACTTATAGCTATTTCGAGTTATTTAATCATTCATCGTTCTCATTTGAAACCAAACGGACTGTAACCATGGAAGACCACACGAGGTATCTTTGTAGAAAAGGTCACTTCCACTTCAGGAAACTTGTTTATTTCGGCATATTCTCACTAGAAATTCCACTGTAACAAGGTAGGTTTTTAGTCAGACATATACATGAATATGAACGATTGTTCAAATCACAATGGGTTTTTCCACTCTATGCCTGTAGTGTATGCTTGCCTTTAGTGTTGAAGCCTTTAGTGCTGAGTTGGCACTATGTCCAGCAGAAACACTTACCAGATGAGGTCATAGGTCGTTGCACAGTGGGGAACGAGGATTTTCAGACCTTTCCGCCCATCAGTGACTTTTTCAAAGTATTTCACCAGATTCCTGCTCAAAAAAGATTAAGTTCCCAGCATCAAAATCATAACAACATTTCATGATGAAGGTGAGAGGTTATGGTTGTCATGTTTTGTATTATAAGGAACACGACCTTTCGGAATGTGTTCTTACTCCTTCAGCAAGTGAATGAAAGGCTATTAAGGAGTGAGCTATGTGTGTACACTGGAAGTCAGCACCCAGGTGTAAATAGCGCTGAGAAGTAATCAAGCACTGACCGATAATAATTAAGCGCCGGGCTCCGTGTAGGTGCAGTCCCAGTGCCCGGCCTATTCTAGCTTACGTATACCTACTGGCCGGGCTCCGTGTAGGTGAAGTCCCAGTGCCCGGCCTATTCTAGCCTACGTATACCTACTGGTCGGGCTCTGTGAAGGTGAAGTCCCAGTGCCCGACCTTCTCAACCCCATGTATACCTACAGGCCGGGCTCCGTGTAGGTGAAGTCCCAGTACCCGACCTACTCTACCCTGTGTATACCTACTGGCCGGGCTCCGTGTAGGTGAAGCCCCAGTACCCGACCTACTCTATATATCCTATGTATACCTACGGACCGGGCTCTGTGTAGTAGAAGTCCCAGTGACCCTTGTCCCATTGGGTCAACCAGTCTTGAATTCTCCCCTCCGGAGTCTCAGATACATGCCAGTAGCCAGGTCGAACCTTTTCCTTTTTCGGCATAGTTCCAATTTATTACTTCCCCTGTAACATGTTACATGTGTATGTCGTTATCCGTAGTTTTGCTTTACAATATACTCTCCCACACAAAATAAACCCATTGGTGTATTTTCGAGAAATTAATATGCTGACGTTAAAGTGAGATAATACATGTAATTCTATAACGGTTGCAGCCAAACGTCAAAATATTACTTAGATCAAATGTCTGTAAATATGTATAGCTTATAAAAACTTCAAGAACTGAATGCGTCCGTTTCAGGGTGAGCCTTGTTTTCAATATCTGTTGTGGCCACCTTGAGCCCCTAAACCTGCTCTGTGCCGTCTCGGTTTGGGCTGAATAAGATCTGAGTACGACCTTGTAGAATTCTGGCCCATTCCTCGTGCAATGCCTGCAGCAGTCTGGGGCGCCGGTCGATGTTCATGTACGTGTCGGCCAAGTTTATCCCGTAAATGGTCGAATGGGATGAGATCTTTGATTTGGTTTTGGTTTGTTTGTTGTTTAACGCCGCACTCAGCAATATTCCAGTTATATGGCGGCGGTCGGTAAAAAATCCAGTCTGTGCCAGACAATCCAGTGATCAACAGCATGAACATGGATCTACGCAGTTGGGATACGATGACATGTGTCAACCAAGTCAGTGAGCCTGACAATCCGATCCCGTTAGTCGCCTCTTACGACAAGCATGGGTCTTCACGGGTGTTGTCGATTTTTAAAAGACATGGAGTACTGTAATGTTCTTATTACGAAGATACTGATTAGTGGCATATGCTGTGTGAGGCCTGGCATTATCTTGCTGGAACAACTCCCTCTAGAGGACAACGATCGGAACCATTCGAATCTTTAAGATTTCTGCTCTGTATCGAATAGCACTTACATTGCCCTGAAGTCGCACAAAGTTAGATTTCTGTAACATATGGCTCCCCACAACATGACACTTTCACCACCATATCGATCAACCTATGCAACACAATTCAAGGCAATTCATATCGACGTCGATAGACATAAACCCTTCCACAATGGCACTGAAGCAGAAAGCGTGATTCCTCACTGAACCATACACATCGCCAGTTTTGTAGCTTCCAGAATCAAAGGTTATTGCATCACTGGGCCATCGCCCCGTCCATGTATTCGTCGCAGCACCGGGGAGAAAAAGGGTCTTCTGGCTCGAAACCAAGCTTCTCAAAAACGATGATAAATGGTTTGCGCCGACACCCTCCTCAAACCACTAACTGCACTGTACCTATCCAGCGCTGCAGTGGCAATCCGAGGTCAACCACTTCGAGACCGATCTTGCATAGAATAGTTTTGTTGATATCGGTCCCATAAACGACTGATGGTACTATGGTGAACATTGAGGTGACGTGCAACTCAACCTCCTGACGTCCAATGGCAATGTTTCGATTTACAACAGTGAGTTGCGGCATATAACGATATTCTTTCATTCAGCTAAAAAATGACTAATGACCGTCTCAAAGCAAAAAGGCCTTATATAGGCAATGTCCCTGCTCACGATTTCTCAGAATTGCACGTGCATATTGCGACCCACGTTTTCTCCATGACATTTCCATGATACAAGTTGACATTTATGAACGTAAACGTGCATTAAAGTCTTCATTCGTTCCACGTACACAAACCAGCATTATAGTGGTGATATCATAACAATCCAAGTACACACACCAGCATTATAATGGTGATATTATAACAATCAAAAACTAATTTTGAAATTTGAAATGTCTTATATCAATATCACATATGCGTTTCATTTTGGGGAAAGTATATTTAGTTGTGTGTGTTTCCAAAACACAACTTTCAACAACTGCACCATCTTGAAAATGCTTTAAACATGGAACACTTTTTACAACCTGATGGTTTGAGACCGCTTCCGTTTCCCCTTGTGATGGAAACATATCACGCTTTTTATTCTAAATGTCTTCATAAATATGGCTCCAGTTGTCGACGACCTGGTCGATGAGATAACGAATTGGTTTAAGATTTCGCCCCTGACAGACAACCACATTGAGAGGTTAGCACAGTTAAAACGCGTTAAATGTAGTTCTACCTCGGACAATAGCAGAGGCATACAGACTGCAAACTATTAAAAAACACAACACATTGCAGTGACAAAACTTACAGCTGGGGTCACATAAAAATAGCACTGCAGATACGTCACTGCGATAAGCGTTCAGTCGTTCGAGCTTAAGTGAGTGAGTGACTCCCAAGAAAGTCACCTTGTCAGTCTACGACACACAGTTTTAACCCCTAGTCTGGTGACATCTTGTAAGAAGGTCACGATGTAACATCCTCCACGTGGATACTGTTGTGATGCAGAGGGTTCGAACCAGAGGAAGCTGAGGAACGACTGTTTTGTTGTTTTACGCCGCACTCAGCAATATTCCAGATATATGGCGGCAGTCTGTAAATAATCGAGTCTGGACCAGACAATCCAGTGATCAACAGTAAGGGCATCGATCTGCGCAATGGGAAACCGATGACATGTGTCAACCAAGTCAGCAAGTCTCACCACCCGATCCCAATTAGACGCCTCTTACGACACGCATGGGTTACTGAAGGTTCATTCTAACCCGGACCTTCACGGGTCGTTCGAGCTAAACGAAAACTAACGTCATAAAAAATATACAATCACTTGAGTTGATCAAAAACCTCGAACCGTTTCGAAAATATATGTCTTCGCTGATATCCCCAGTGATTATGTTAGGGGCGGTGTGGTAGCCTAGGGGTTAAAGCGTTCGCTCGTCACGCCGAAGGCCCGGGTTCGATTCCCCACATGGGTACAATGTGTCAAGCCCTTTTCTGGTGTCCCCCGCCGTGATATAGCTGGAATATTGCTAAAAACGGCGTAAAACCATACTCAGTCAGTCAGTCAGTCATTATGTTAAACAACCCAGTTTGGTAAGATTTTACGAATTGTTTAACTATTAGTGTTTTAGTGTTTTCCAAAAACAAAAAACTGTGTATATTTTGCAGTACTATCATGAAAACTGTACAATCTTCCATGTAAACCATCCCACCACCCCATGTGTTCTCAACTGTATATTTGCGCCTAGCATCCCGGTCTGAAAAAAAGTTCTGTTCTGTACTGCTTTTGTTTTAGAATTGGCCAAAGAAGCGCACACATTTTCGAAGCCTTGATTTGATTTTGTAAAATGTTCTCTGATTGGACTGTCGATGTGTGTTATAGTCCCCTCATAATTCAGAAGAAGAAACCCGACATGTAATGGCAAGGATGCAAACTGCATTCACACATATTCTCTGCCATATATGCATTCGCGCATATTCTCTGCCTTATATCCATTCGCGCATACTCTCTGCCTTATATCCATTCACACATATTCTCTGCCTTATATGCATTCACACATATTCTCTGCCTTATATGCATTCGCGCATATACACTACCTCGTATTCTTTGGCTCATATTTATTCACTGATATTCACTGCCTCATATGCATTCGGTTATAAACTGCTTCGTATTCATCGTACAGGACGTAACGTGTACACGAGACGGTCCCCCGTTACGCGTACAAGTGACTACCTGAGAGGGGAGAGTCATTAAGGGGAGGTAACTGATGCCTGACTAAATTGCTCTGTCAAAACATCCGTCTTTGACTGTCAGAAGCGTACGTACTATATATGGGGATATTTTTATTGCGTTACAACAAAGAGGATATAATAAATTAATACACATAAACGAATAACAATATTTTTTCCGTACGGACTATATTATTTGGTGGAAGTATAATCATTTGAAAAAGGACTAAGAGAGGTGGTCACTTCTACCGGTGTAAAAACAATGCGCCTGCGTAAGTTTTCGGTTTTCGGTGATTCACTGGCTTATATCCATTCACTCATATTCACTGCCTCATATGCATTCGGTTATACACTGTTTCTTATTCACTGGCTTATATTCATTCACTCATATTCACTGTCTCATATGCATTCGGTTATACACTGCTTCTTATTCACTGGCTTATATCCAGTCACTCATATTCACTGCCTCATATGCATTCGGTTATACACTGCTTCGTATTCACTGGCTTATATTCATTCACACATATTCACTGCCTCATATGCATTCGGTTATACACTGCTTCGTATTCACTGGCTTATATCCAGTCACTCATATTCACTGCCTCATATACATTCGGTTATACACTGCTTCGTATTCACTGGCTTATATCCAGTCACTCATATTCACTGCCTCATATGCATTCGGTTACACACTGCTTCTTATTCACTGGTTTATATTCAGTCACTCATATTTACTGCCTCATATGCATTCGGTTATACACTGCTTCGTATTCACTGGCTTATATTCATTCACACATATTTACTGCCTCATATGCATTCGGTTACACACTGCTTCGTATTCACTGCCTTATATCCAGTCACTCATATTTACTGCCTCATATCCATTCGCTCATGTTAACTGCCTCACATTTGCTTATATTGGCTGGAAGAGTCACATTGTCTGATTCATTCACTCGCAGTATATAATCCAGTTGCAGTATCAGACAGCTGGAATATTACGCAGTGATTTATAACCATATCACATCAACAAAACAATGACAGCCCATCAGATCATAAAGTTGGAATTATATATAGCGGTAAACAAGTAGGTACTGGTGGGAGTTTTAAACCCATAAATACAATTCAGTAGATTGATAAAGACCCGTGATTTGATCTTCAGTAACCTATACTTGTAATAAGAGGCGACTAACGGGATCGGGTGGTCAGGCTCGCTGACTTGGTTGACACATGTCATCGTATTCCAGTTGCATGCGTGGATCGACTGTCAAACAATGTTTGAGATATTGATTTTGCAGGTCTTCAGTATCCCAGCATGGAGAAGCAATGGGAAACAACCCACAAGGTTATTTCACCTACATAGCAGCGTGTTCGAACAAGTCCGTATATCTGGTGTCATATTCATGCCCAGATATCATGATGCACTATAACATTTTACAGCAATGAAAGTGTAATTGACTTCTAGTCGACATGACAATATTTTATCCCCTTGAGGCAGGGTAACAAGTACCATCTTTCACGCACGACCCGGCCAGAGGATCGAGACACTTACCTTGCACTGGTCATTCAATAAGATACAAGTCATTGTTCACGGAGAATTCCGAGTATTCCCGACAAGCCAATTGCGCAATCATATCGGCACATCTAGGTCGAGGTTACATCACATGGTGTGCGAAAAATGAATACATCAATAAATTATAACAGTTCCTCATGAAATTTTTACAAGAATAGATTTCACATAGTGAGGGATTTACTGAACTGAGATTACATAACATGACATAAGATAAAATAGCGAAGTAGTGTTATTCTCACCAACTGGTCAATGTGATCGTCGTGTTGTACTGCGCATCTCAGTCACAGCTGGCACGCGAAGTGGCGCTTTCCTACCCAGCTGTCAAGGGTGCGTATCATAAACGTAAAACGAATAAATATCGTTAAAACTAAATATACTTTCTGTAAACTGTTTGTGAACACCAAGGTCACGTTACAAGTACAAAACAGTTGTTTCAGGCCTATGTTGACACAAGATAACAAATCGATTGCGATCTGATAGATCAAGATGTGTATATTTTCACACCAAAAGAACTATAATATATATCTAGTTCGCACTAAAAGTTAACTCATGTGGACACTAAGGGCATCTAGGCATTCGGAAAAAAATAGAAAGGCAAATATTCGGGGAAAACATGAATAACCTTCTTCACTTAGTTTCCGTCGTCCCATAGCAGTTTCACGTAACATATATTAGTTATCTACACATGATAAGATATTTCTATAAAAATTAGGCACTCAAAAAGTCGTTTCGAGTATTATATTTCTTCCGCAAAAGTCTCAAACGGAAAATGAAATAATTGTGAACACCTGTGAAGATCCGTGTTAGAATATATTGTTTTTCAGCAACCCAAGCTTGTCGTAAGAGGCGACTAACAGGAACGGGTTGTCAGACTCCCTGACTTGGTTGACACGTCTTGTCATCGTATTCCAATTTAGTAGATCGATGTTAATGATTCTGATACAAGAATGTTTGGTCCAGACTTGATTATTTACAGACCGCCACCGTATAGCTGGAATATTGCTGAGTGCGGCGTAAAACAACAAAACAGTCGTTCCTCAGCTTCCTCTGGTTCGAACCCTCTGCATCACAACGGCATCCACGTGGAGGATGTTACATCGTGACCTTCTTACAAGATGTTACCAGACTAGGGGTTAAAACTGTGTGTCGTAGACTGACAAGGTAACTTTCTTGGGAGTGAAAGATCGAGACAAGGGTTGGAAGCATGTAATTCAGACGTTAACATATTTTGAGAAATGAAATATTAAAGTACTTTACCCTCATTTATGGAGTACCCATGTCTTAAATGGCGTTTTAGTGATACATGACAGGTGCTAGGATGTCTGAAAAGCAGAGCAGGTCACAGAACTAAAGCAAGGTGCCAAATACACGAGATTGAAAATGGGATTCAGGTGAGCACACAGTACCAGAAAGATGTTATTAGGACGCGTGAAAGTTAATTTGATAAAGTGATTGTTAACCGCATGTAAAACTTGGACATGACTTCAAAGACAATCTTCTTACAACATTATGTACACTGTTAACATGCTACACACGAACGCACGTACGCGCGCACACTCACACGAAATTATTGTGACCCCATATATAATAAACGCCAAAAGAAACGTTACCCTTATAACATAATGACGGAGGTACCTATGTTCAGCTGGCGTTGTGATGCGTGGACGTCCACTTCTTGGTCTTTCTGTCTGAAGCCCTAAATAAGTCTTATAACCGTGATACGGTGACATCCGAGGGCGTTGGCAACAGCATTGTATGTCGAACCCATCTGCACCATCCCAATGGTTCTTTCTCTCCCTTCAGCTGTTAATCTTGGCATATTTCTCGTACTTGTGTATCACCGCCATATAGCTGGAATATTGCTGAGTACGGCGTAAAACTAAACTCACTCACTTACTCTCTTTATACCCTATAGAATCATTAGACATGTGAAAGGGCACAATGTGTTAAGCCCATTTCTGGTGTCCCCCGCCGTGATATTGCTCGAATATTGCTAAAAGCGGCGTAAAAATAAACTCAGTCAGTCAGTCAGTTAGACGTGTGAAATGGATGTAAATACTGCTTGAATATTGCTGCGCTTTGGCGATTGATATTGCTGTGTGTAAACAGAAAATGGAAAAGTGCTACTTTACAAGCAAAGATATTATCAATGATAATTTTAGATGTTCCTAAACACTTTTTTCACAATATCAAAGACACATTTTACTTGTTTTCACTAATGTAAATCAGCAGAAAATGTTTTAAAAGACTGAAATCATAGGAATGAATATTTTACAATTTTACACACTCTACAACAATTGTTTCTTGTTATAGTAGTTGAAAAATTGTGACTTTAAATGGTTTATCATTGTCCCAAAGCAGAATTTTATTACAACCTTTCTTTTGGACATCAAAATCACTATTATTGGTTTATTTCCCAATAAAGCTGTGGTGTTAAGCTTCCTTGTAATTAAAACTAAAACCTTCTCACATATCTTTGATAGTTTTTCAGTAATTCATAAAGGTAGGAGGGTAACGTTTCTTTTGGCGTCTAGTGTATACTCGTGTTAGTGACTCTATATATGAACATGAGTATATTTCCGTTTGTGTATAACTTCATATCCTCTGTTTAGACTGATTGTAGGGATAAACGTGCAATCACTAAAACCAGTGCCACTTTGCTGTGTGAAGGCATGTTGTTTGTGGACCAGGGCCCCGTTTCACAAAGCTCTCGTCGGCCTAAGATCTCGTAACTTTTCTCGTAGCATTCGTACCTTCTATGTTACACATGTGTGCCTTTGTATGACACAGACAACACCATCTACTCTTCTCTGGTCGTTCAAGGATTGTATAGACTATGTAAATACACCAGATTTACCTTATCGTAAAGTGACTTAAACCCCAACTCATCTAAGTCAGTGCTGCTCCAATAACTCTAATGTATTCTTCTTTATAAATACCTCTCTTACTTAATGTACATTTTCTGCCTGTCCGTGTTATTGTACTCTGCTATGGAGGAATAAAGAACATTATTATAAGCCCCTCCATTGCACCGGGTGTCTTCTACCGAACCGACACCCTCTAACCAATCAAAAAGATTCACGTTATATCTGAGTAGCTCGTAAATGTCACCGTGAACAACAGACATTCAGGAAATATAACTTAAAAAGTGAAAATTAATGATAGACTTAACAGCCGCGGTGATTATTGTGAGGCAAAAGGCGTTCGTAGTAACGAGTCCATATAAGGAATGTCACATGATCATACTCGTGACCTCTTGCATGGTGTGTGACCAAACCATAGGTTATAGATCATGCAATATCATAAATGATACACCGTGGGAACTGTTTACTGCTTTGTGTTCTGCCACTAAAACTCTCTGCTCCAATACAGGAAATCTCTACACAAAACATTTCACGCCACGCTCGTATTTAGGGTTGTTTAGCTTAAAGGAGAATACGAGTGAATTGCAATAGTTTGCTGGGTGAAAGATAAAGTCATCAGAAAAATATACCTAAATTTTCAATTAAAACTATGCATATTTATGTTTTAATTATGTTATCTGAGCTTCGGCAATTATGCATGTTCCGCTGGAACTCACATGATCTTTCCGCTCGGTGCGTCAAATGTGCCTAGAGTCCGCCATTTTGCCAAAGACCAAGCGCTACAGTAATACAAATCGTGTTGTTTCTGTCGTTTTTGTAAATGGTACGATGGTGTATTCCGTTGCCTGGGGATGCACGGAATCATCGAACAATGAAAAGAGCCACCATTTCTTCCTTTTTATAAGTAAAACGACAGATTAAGGCAGGAGAAATGTCCCGATCATTCCGAGTCTTACTTTCAAGACCAGTTGGCATCGGCATGCACTCACAGTCACACCTAAGAATATATTAAGATTCTTGAGAGGCATTTAGAAGTTGGTGAATATATAAGAAGGGTATACATACTCTCCCAAAAAAGAAACGCATCATGAAAATAGCAATTTCATGTAGCAATGAATTGAAACGTGATTCATTTTTCAAATGGTTTTGCTCTGTTTATGAGTCCTATGGTGTTTATGTTTTGAATCATCACAACAAAACGCACCATCCACAAAATACCCGTATTTAACAGCATGATTTTCAATTTCGGCGTGTAGTGTCACAGAATACACAATTCACATGCAATGCACGTGAAAGTTGGGGATCAGATAGTCTCAATGATGGGTATAAAAGGTTGATCACTGTCTGTCGATTATTCACTGTATTTGGAATATTGTTGACGAACGCAAAATGCCATGTCTAAGTGAAGCCAACCGTCATATTGCCATTGGTTTGCTTGAAGCTGGCCAGTCTCAATGTGCAGGTGCCCGACGCATGAATGTTCACCAAAGCACCATTTCACGGTTCTGGGAGAGATATCGCCGGCAGAATGCGGTAGCAGATGCCCCTCGTAGTGGGCGACCCCGGGTACATCACCTGTGTCATCGAACAGCTACGGCGACCAGTACCGCTCGACAAATACCCGGATTGAGGAGGCTTTCTGCACAGACCGTTAGGAACAGGTTGAGAGAGGCTGGTTCACGTGCCAGAAGACCTTTTTTTTTGGCCCTGTGCTTCGACAACAACATCGTCGACATCGAGTTCAATGGTGCACCAAAGTTCAGGCCTGGAACCTACCGAATTGGCTTAGAATCTGGTTCAGTGATTAATCACGATTTCTACTGGAACGACGCGATGGAAGAATGCGGGTGTACAGACGTCGACGTGAACGTTTCGCCGACGCTTGCGTTCCCCAGGTGGACAGATTCGACCGGGGAAGTGTTATGTGGGGAGCGATCACCTGCCGTAGGAGAAGTGATTTGGTCATGATCCAGGGCATCCTGACAGCTCAACGGTACTGTGACGAAATACTACGCCCACACCTCCTTCGAATCATTGATCGGCAGAGGGAGTTGTTTCAACAGGACAATGCCAGGCCCCACACAGCACGTCACACTAGAGACTTCCTCCAGAATCACAACATCAATGTGCTACCCTGGCCCTCAAGGTCACCGGACTTAAACCCGATCGAACATCTGTGGGATGCCCTGGACAGATGGGTGCGACGCCGTAACCCTCAGCCCCAGACACTTCAGCAACTCGCACAGGCACTACAGTTAGTGAGTGAGTGAGTTGAGTTTTACGCCGCTCTCAGCAATATTCCAGCTATATGGCGGCGGTCTGTAAATAATCGAGTCTGGACCAGACAATCCAGTGATCAACAGCATGAGCATCGATCTGCACAATTGGGAACCGATGACATGTGTCAACCAAGTCAGCGAAACTGACCACCCGATCCCGTTAGTCGCCTCTTACGACAAGATAGTCGCCTTTTTATGGCAAGCACATGGGTTGCTGAAGACCTATTCTACCCCGGATCTTCACGGGTCCACATGCACTACAGGCAGAGTGGGCTGCGATTGGGCAACACGAGATTCGTTCGATGCCGAGGCGATGCCGTGCAGTTCTGGATGCCCACGGTGGTCACACGAGGTATTGACTTCAGCGCCACCACACGTCTCCATGTGACACTCAAACTGACTTTCCTCGAGTTGGTGCCAAAGACGTATAATTCTGCATTCCGCTATATTTCATTAACTCATAAAGCCTACAAGATGTTTCAAAATAAACCTAAAAATACAGTTGAAATTCCTATATGCGGTTTTTTTTTGGAGAGTATATAATGTTCCCCAAAGTGAGTGAGTGAGTTTAGTTTTACGCCGCTTTTAGCAATATTCCAGCAATATCACCATAAATCACCATTATAAGCTTCACACATTGAACCCATATGAAAAGCACCTGCACTCTGTCAAATAATGA